AAGCGTGCTTCAGTTTGTATACAATATCTAGCGTCATGAAGGCTGTTGCTTTATTACTCACCTGGCTTTGCTTCTGACTTCCTTGACGGAAGTTGTACCTTCCTCTGCTTCCGAGACCTCTAATGAAGAATCGAAAGTGACTTCTTTTCTCTTTCTCATTTCTTCATGTGGTTTTACTAATAGGATTGTTTACATCCCATGCAGTACTATAAAAGGATTTAGTGATTTATTATCCTTACCTTTTTTGCTAAAATTTTGATTTCCTGATCCCAAAATGGAGATATCTTCCCATATTCTGTACGATTCGTGTGTGGATGTCATGTGATGTCAGTGGGTTTAAAAGAGAGATCCTAATATCTCATTACGCTGCGGAGAGAACTTTTACCATTATAGGTGTTTAACACACCAACAAGAATACAAATATTGATGACGGAGAGATACCTATGTTTAGACATCAGGGGAACTAGTGCTAGTAAAAAAAATTATGGGCATGGTAATAACAGACTACAAATATCACTTTTAATAGTATTTAGAAAAATACAATTATGTGAGTCCCGGTCAATGAAAAGAGGGCTCAAGCAGGTAGGAAATGTTAAGAGTATAAAGTTATAATCCTCAACACTCAACACTGAGCAGAGAACTTTACGGTAAATCTGCAGCTAATCCATACTAATTAATATTGGTTGTATGTCCTTAACTCTATGTTATGTGTTTTGTAAATTTGTAGCGATCATGATAAAGTCTGAAGATGATCCAGAGATGAGTTCAGGAAGGTGCACGCCGCCTGAACAGTGCTGCGTTTTCCTCACGACTCCCACAGACTGCCGTCTCTGTGCTGTTGTATGTCCCTGATCACTAATAGTAGGCACAATGCGGTTGCGTTCTCTTCATGGGACTTATATTACTATGAATAAAAAGACCTTGTTATGTAGGGCGTATGGTTTGTGATTGTAAGAATAATAAGAGTTTGGTGTACCTTTGTTTCACTTTGGATGTCAGTGTGCAATCTTTGTGATTACTATGTACTTGATTTGGTACCGATATTTGGTCACTTTGGATGTCAGTACAATCTTTGTGATTACTATGTACTTGATTGGGTACCGATATTTGGTGTTCATGGAGGTTTTTATTTGACATATATAGATGGGGGTTAACTATGGAAACAGTGGCGTCGATGCTTAGCTATCAATATAAAACGTAATGGAGGTATCATTGCGGCATGATTGATGATTCGGTGATATAATTTCATATTTCTACACAACAAAGAAGTGAAAATGAACAGGGCAGTACTCACATATTTTTTTCGGCTCCTTGCAGGAAACAGGGAACACTGTGGCACGGCACACCAACAGGCTGTAACACAAAACTCGATCAATCGTTCAAAGAAAAGTTATAGAAAAAACAAAGAGCACAGATCACACATCATATATGTAGAGAAATCAAAGACACTACTTAACTACGATCACTTACGTGTGATTAACAAACTGTTCTTGGGTGTGGAGTGCTCGGTTATGCTAGCCTTGTTGGCTTCAATAAATGCCAGATGAGAGGGACAGGGTTCAGGCAGCCGTGATGCCCATCGGATGAATGTGATCTTTTCAGCCATCACAATTTTGGTGTAGTGATAGGGAGGCCCCATAAGGCCTCTCCATCGGTGCGGGCATATCCAACCCTCACGAAAATTTCTGCTTAAACTCTGATTTTAAAGTATCAAATTATAACTCTATAGTCTATAGACCGTCGCCATGACTTTGGAGTTTTGTTGTAGTGAAACGGACCTTTAATGATCCCAGACATAAGCATAAACAGGGAAAAGTGTATCAGCATTCTTCGTGGTGGAATTGAAATTAGTGGACTAGTTGAAATACTTCTCCGTCGCACCCAATTTATTTTGTTTTATTTTTTTTAATAAAAAACGTTAGTCTATTACACCTGATTATTTATAGATTGTTGATTTTTGGCTTGAATCCAAAATGGGTGGGACCCATTTCAAATCTCTTTAAATCTCTGGGAGCAAAAGAATCAAAGAAGAGTCCGCAATTGTTGAAAACGTTGGAGAAGAGAAGTGATTGATTAGGAGGTCGTTGTCAAGATGTCGCTCTCACTTCTCTTCTGCTGGATTCTCACAATCTCTCACTCTCTCTTAAAACTCTCAGTGTGTGTTTACAACTATGAAAGAGAGCAAAACAAAAGAGAGTCCGCTCAAATTTTTGTATGTGGGTTGTATTGAGAGATTGAATATAGTGAAACTCCTTTCTTGCCGTGGACGTAGATCAATTTGATCGAACCACGTAAACATTGTGTGTTTGTGATCGTCTCTCTATTTTTTTGGTTTTGTGTTTGATTATCCCAACATAGATGTATATTGTGAACAATGAGGGAAATCTTTCTAACTAAAAGATGAACTAGAGAAGACTTAAAGCCAATACATCTGTTTCAGATCACAGATGATAATGGGTGACAGGGTGAAATTTCCAACACAATCTTTTAGCTTGGGGTCCTCCAGTCAAGACAGACAAGATATTCAACTGAAACCTCATGTTTACTCCCCAAGCTATATCAATTCAAAATAGAAAATCCAAATGAATCACATCTAATCGGGCGATTAGAAGTTGAATAAATAAAAATCACAAAGTTCATCCCTAAGCTTGTTCAGCTATGCCAGCCCCAAAACCACCACAGGAAAGGAATTAAAAGCCTAGTCCAGCTCCAACTCAAACCGTCTGGTTTGATAAAAATTAATGAACCTGGAACTTAACACGGTAAATGTTACTTATATCTGCCACAAATAAACTGTTAAATAACTCAAAACCAGGCCCCTATATGGAATATCATATAGGAAGGAGCCTCATCTTCCAGCTATCTAATTAATATATGCTCAGTCAGAGAAAGAAACAGAAATTTTAAGTCATTATTAAAAATAAACAAAAGAACGAAAGAAAGACAAGGGAAAATATAAAAGAGCATGTATCAGAAGATATCAGATTAGGTGTGCATCAGTGCACCTGCATGTATCGGAAGATCTCAGATTAGGATGTATCAGAAGATCTCAGAATTCATAGTATTTCTTTTCAAACTGTACAACTATACACCGTTGGCAAGTTCACAGTAGCTCCACCAATACAACTGTTTTGAGCCTTTACATGAAAATTCAAACCAACTGTTTAAGATGAAGTATATTTCGTAAAGGAAAAAGATAAATTTTCAATCATATGTACCTCGCCAATGTTGGATATTTCGTAAAGGAAAAAGATAAATTTTCAATCATATGTACCTCGCCAATGTTGGATCCCCTTTGTACAATTGGAGCTGAAGCTGTTGATTGTTTTATACTTGTAACCAAAGACCAGGTACAAAGAGATCACTCTGCAGGAATATCTGATGCCTCAGGAAGCAGTTCAGGATGTTCCACTTGCTCGAGATTTGGTTCGTCGGACATTGATACCTCCGTCTCTTTGTTACCATCAACTTCTTGTCTTTCCTTGCTTTCTTGTTCTGCCCCTTGTTTTAACTATATTCCAAGTTAATGTTTGTTCCAAAAAATTATTTAGAAGACTAGAACAATTCAAGAAGGAAAAGAGGAATGTTATACAATAACTGAGTAACAGAGTATATTCTCGCTGCATAATCAGAGAGATGAAATAATAAGTACCATGACATCCAGAAACAAACAAACTTTAATCCCACTTTCCGAGTTCTCATTGAGGTCAGCCACCTATTAATACATAAAACTAAATGCAGTAGTTAGAGTGTGAAAGCAAGGAGGATATAATTTCGTAAACAGTAATCTGGATGTATAATAGTAATAAGCACCATACCGCCTTTTGAGCACCTTCGGTAGTCTCATATTCCACAAATGCATGCAACTACAAGAGAAACAACAAACAGAAATAGACATTTATATATATGTACATACAATACATATACATGAACATGTATAAAACATAAATTCGTCCATGAGAAAATTAACATGTGACACCCCTTAAACAAATGGAACTATACTCATAAATTGAAACATCGTTGCTAAATAATCTCCATATGTCAAGGAATCTAAAAGAGATTGCATCTGCGCTATATAGAAAAGTTGTGTGACTATTAACTAATATGCTCATCTGGATTGAAATGCAGTCGGACACACTTTCCCCTGGTAGGTGCTTGGATGTCTGAGTACTGACCATGCTAACAAGGACAGAAAGCATATTTCTTTCAAAGAAAGTTAAGACAAAAGGACAGAAAGAGAAAACCAAGATAAAATAAGGGGGCATAAATTAATAATTAAAATGTGGAATATTTTGAAGTTACAAACACCTGCTTGATTCTACCAACTGTTAGAATTGGGGGTGGAAACAAACCTCCGCCGGCGACGAGGAGCTCCGATGAGCTCCGACGAGCTCGATGTCGACGCAGGCGTAGCCCAGGTGAGATTCGATGGTCGCAGGCGAGCTCGAGCTCTGCGTTTGGCGATGACGAGCTCTGCGTTTGGCGATGGCAAGCTCTGCGTTTGGCGATGGCGAGCTCTGTGTTGGGGGGGGGTTCCGACCCTGCGTTCGGGCTGCGAATTGGCGTCCAAGAGACGCTCGCGTTGGCTTGGTGGGGACGGTGCGCCAGCCTTTCATTTCGTCTATAAAACCTTCCCCTGTCGCTGGTTTTCAGTAAGCTTCCCCCTTCTCCGTTTCCTCTCTCTGGCGGCGGCGGCGCACTGCCCAAAATCGAGCAGCGATTGTGATAATTCCGGGTGAGGGGCATTAAGAGGAGGAGAGTCATTTAAAGGGTGATTAGTGGGGTTTCATTTATTCTCATGAGAATTTTGAGGGTATCCCTTTAAATTATAACACTGTGGTATGGTTAATTGAGAGATCTCATTTTGTCGCCTCTTTATATTATAATTTGTTCTTATTTAAAACATATTTGTGTGGCTCCCCGAGCGACGTAGGCAAAGTGCTGAAAACCTCGTTAAATCTGTGTACTCTCTATACTGCGTTTCTTTGCATTTAGGGTTTAGGCGTTAAATTCCAACAAACGGTTATAAGCGTGAAACATCCTAGAGAATGATTTCAACGTGGAGATGGCCCCCGAGATGAGGGAAAATAAGAACTTGGAAATAGACTTGAGAAATTTTGATGGACAGTTTTGGGATTCTGGAAAATAAGAATAGAGGATACTTGCTATCGAAAATCGTATCACCCACTATCGGGAAGAAAGCCGGATCTTATGAAGAAGAAAGAGTGAACCTTCCTAGATAGATTAAGCCCTCGGAGTTTTCAGATTGACGTTGACTCGCAATGTTGCCGTTCAACCATAGAAGGAAAACTAACGCAGAGAAGCCATCAGCCGCGAACAAAGTTTATTTGATGTGGCGATTATTCAATCTGAAAATGGCGGAAGGCGCGTCAGTAGCACAACACCTCAATGAACTTAATACGGTTACAACCCAATTGAGTTCAGTTGAGATTGAGTTTGATGATGAAGTTCGGGCGTTGATACTTTTGTCTTCCCTACCAGAGAGTTGGAACGCTACAGTCACGGCAGTGAGTAGCTCATCGGGAAAGAAAAAGTTGAAGTTCGGCGACGTTCGTGATTTGGTTCTCAGCGAGGAGATCCGACGGAGAGAGACGGGTGAAGCTACAACCTCTTCAGTATTGCATACAGAGTCAAGAGGTAGAAATTCAACCAGAGGAAACGGACGAGGAAAATCAAACTACAGAGGTAGATCAAATGACAGGAGGTCCAAATCAAGGAATCCAAGCAACAGCTCGAAGGCTATCGAGTGTTGGAATTATGGAAAGACCGGGCATTATAAGAATCAGTGCAAAAGTGCACAGAAGGAGAAGGAGGCGAAGGCAGAGGTGAATGTCACCTCCACCTCAGGAGGAGACGACGTATTGATATGCTCTTTGGAGAGCAAGGAGGAATCTTGGGTGTTAGATTCAGGAGCGTCGTTCCATGCTACCTCTCAGAAAGAATTCTTCGAGAAGTATACCCCCGGAAATCTTGGATACGTATATCTTGGTGATGATCAACCATGTGCTATTGTGGGCAAAGACGTGGTGAAAATTAAGTTGAACGGGTCTGTATGGGAGCTGAAGGATGTCAGGCATATTCCCGACCTGAGAAAGAATTTAATATCCGTAGGCCAGTTGGCTGGCGAAGGATATACCACGACCTTCCATGGAGATGATTGGAAGATCTCAAAGGGCGCAATGACAATTGCCCGAGGCAGAAAGACTGGTACCCTATATATGACAGCAGGTGCACGTTGTTTGATCTCAGTTGCAGCAGACAATGAGACTTCAAAGCTGTGGCACAAAAGACTCGGTCATATGAGTGAGAAAGGGATAAAAATCATGCATACAAAGGGAAAACTCCTAGGACTGCAGTCAGTGGAGATGGATATGTGTGAAGAATGCCTACTTGGAAAGCAGAAGAGAGTAAGCTTTCAGACAAGTGACAAAACCCCCAGGAAAGAGAAGCTAGAGCTCGTTCACTCATATGTTTGGGGACCAACAACCACCGCGTCCATTGGTGAAAAACACTACTTCGTGACTTTTATCGATGATCACTCTCGGAAAGTATGGGTCTACTTTTTGAGGCATAAGTCAGAAGTATTTGAGGCTTTCAGGAGATGGAAAGCTATGGTCGAGAATGAGACCGGTCTGAGAATAAAGAAGCTCAGGACCGATAATGACGGTGAATATGAAGACACCGGATTCAAGAAGTTCTGTTATGAGCACGGGATCAGAATGGAGAGAACCGTGCCCGGCACGCCTCAGCAAAATAGTGTAGCTAAGCGGATGAACCGAACGTTGACAGAGAGAGCCAGAAGCATTCGGGTACAGTCAGGCCTACCGAAGCAGTTCTGGGCAGAAGCGGTCAACACAGCAGCTTACTTGATCAACCGAGGTCCGTCGGTTCCATTGGAGCACAGAATACCAGAGGAGGTATGGTGCGGAAAGGAGGTAAGACTCACATCTTAAAGTTTTCGGTTGTGTAGCTTACGTGCATATTAGTGATCAAGGCAGGAATAAGCTTGATCCCAAGTCAAAGAAATGCACTTTCATCGGCTATGGTGAAGATGAGTTCGGCTACCGCATTTGGGACAACGAAAACAAGAAGGTGATCAGGAGCAGAGATGGTCTATAAAACCCCTCCCCCGTCGACCTAGGGTTTCAGTAGAGCTTCCCCCTTCTCCGATTTCTTCTCTGGCGGCGGCGGCGAACTGCCCAAAATCGCAGCAGCGATTTGTGATAAATCTCCGGTGTGAGGGGATTTAAGAGGAGAGAGAGATCATTAAAGAGGGTGTATTTATAGTGGGGTATTCATTTATTCTCAAGTGAGAATTGAAAGGGTTCATACCCTTTAATTATTAACACTGTGGCTACAGTGTTTAATTGAGAGATCTCATTTTTGATCTGCTCTTATAATTATAATTTTTTGTTTGATTAATAAGAAATTATCTGTGTGGCTCCCGAGGACGTAGGCAGTTGCTGAACCTCGTTAAATCTTGGTGTACTTTTCTCTATACTGCGTTTCTGTTGCATTAGGGGTTTAGGCGTTAAATTCCCAACAACTGGTATCAAAGCGTGAAACGATCTAGAGGAAGTCAGATTCAAGTGGGAGCCATGGCCGCAGATGAAGGGAAAATAAGACTTGAGAAATTTGATGGATCAGATTTTGGATTCTGGAAAATGCAACTATCGGGGAAGAAGCCGGATTCTATGAAGGAAGAAGAGTGGAACCTTCTAGATAGATAAGCCCTCGGAGTTATCAGATTGACGTTGACTCGCAATGTTGCGTTCAACATAGCGAAGGAGAAGACTACGGCAGGTCTTATGGCAGCACTCTCAAACATGTATGAGAAGCCATCAGCCGCGAACAAAGTTCATTTGATGCGGCGGTTATTCAATCTGAAAATGGCGGAAGGCGCGTCAGTAGCACAACACCTCAATGAACTCAACACGGTCACAACCCAATTGAGTTCTAGCACAACAACTCAATGAACTTAATACGGTTACAACCCAATTGAGTTCAGTTGAGATTGAGTTTGATGATGAAGTTCGGGCGTTGATACTTTTATCTTCCCTATCAGAGAGTTGGAACGCTACAGTCACAGCTGTGAGTAGCTCGTCAGGAAAGAAAAAGTTGAAGTTCGGCGACGTTCGTGATTTGGTTCTCAGCGAGGAGATCCGACGGAGAGAGACGGGTGAAGCTACAACCTCTTCAGTATTGCATACAGAGTCAAGAGGTAGAAATTCAACCAGAGGAAACGGACGAGGAAAATCAAACTACAGAGGTAGATCAAAGGACAGGAGGTCCAAATCAAGGAATCCAAGCAACAGCTCGAAGGCTATCGAGTGTTGGAATTGTGGAAAGACCGGGCATTACAAGAATCAGTGCAAGAGCGCACAGAAGGAGAAGGAAGCGAAGGCAGAGGTGAATGTCACTTCCACCTCAGGAGGAGACGACGCATTGATATGCTCTTTGGAGAGCAAGGAGGAATCTTGGGTGTTAGATTCAGGAGCGTCGTTCCATGCTACCTCTCAGAAAGAATTCTTCGAGAAGTATACCCCCGGAAATCTTGGATACGTATATCTTGGTGATGATCAACCATGTGCTATTGTGGGCAAAGGCGTAGTGAAAATTAAGTTGAACGGGTCAGTATGGGAGCTGAAGGATGTCAGGCATATTCCCGACCTGAGAAAGAATTTAATATCCGTAGGCCAGTTGGCTGGCGAAGGATACACCACAACCTTCCATGGAGATGATTGGAAGATCTCAAAGGGCGCAATGACAATTACCGGAGGCAAGAAGACTGGTACCCTGTATATGACAGCAGGTGCACATTGTTCGATCTCAGTTGCAGCTAGCAATGAGACCTCAAAGCTGTGGCACCAGAGACTCGGTCATATGAGTGAAAAGGGGATGAAAATCATGCACACAAAGGGAAAACTCCCAGGACTGCAGTCAGTGGAGATGGATATGTGTGAAGAATGTATACTTGGAAAGCAGAAGAGAGTCAGCTTTCAGACAAGTGGCAGAACCCCCAGGAAGCAGAAGCTAGAGCTCGTTCACTCAGATGTTTGGGGACCAACCACCACTGCGTCGATTGGTGGGAAACACTACTTCGTGACTTTTATCGATGATCACACTCGGAAAGTATGGGTCTACTTTCTGAAACATAAGTCAGAAGTGTTTGAGGCTTTCAGAAGATGGAAAGCCATGGTCGAGAATGAGACCGGTCTGAGAATAAAGAAGCTCAGGACCGACAATGGCGGTGAGTATGAAGACACCGGATTCAAGAAGTTCTGCTATGAGCACGGGATCAGAATGGAGAGAACCGTGCCCGGCACGCCTCAGCAAAATGGAGTAGCTGAGCGAATGAACCGAACGTTGACGGAGAGAGCCAGAAGCATTCGAGTACAGTCAGGCCTACCGAAGCAGTTCTGGGCAGAAGCGGTCAACACAGCAGCTTACTTGATCAACCGAGGTCCATCGGTTCCATTGGAGCACAGAATACCAGAGGAGGTATGGTGCGGAAAGGAGGTAAAACTCTCACATCTTAAAGTTTTCGGTTGTGTAGCTTACGTGCATATTAGTGATCAAGGCAGGAATAAGCTTGATCCCAAGTCAAAGAAATGCACTTTCATCGGCTATGGTGAAGATGAGTTCGGCTACCGCATTTGGGACAACGAAAACAAGAAGGTGATCCGGAGCAGAGATGTGATATTCAACGAGAAGGTGATGTACAAGGACATGCACAAGACAGATGACTCAGAGAGCGAGTCAATATTTGTAGATGCAGATGATGTCCCGAGTAACCTCTCGGAAGAACCCAATGCAGAGGGTCCTCAGCAAGAAGAGCCTGTTGGACAAGATGGTGCGCAGGAGCCCGACGCACCAGCTCCGATATTAAGAAGATCTTCTCGTCCTCCTGTACCCAACAGGAGATACATGAACTATCTGTTGTTGACAGATGGTGGGGAGCCTGAAAGCTTTGATGAAGCTTGTCAGTGTGGAGATGCGAGCAAGTGGGAGCTTGCAATGAAAGATGAGATGAAGTCTCTCATATCAAACCAGACGTGGGAACTAGCTGAGTTGCCCACGGGTAAGAAGGCACTCCACAACAAATGGGTGTACCGGGTGAAAGAGGAGCAGGATGGTTCCAGAAGATATAAAGCCCGGCTAGTTGTCAAAGGTTTCCAGCAGAAGGAAGGAATTGACTACACCGATATTTTCGCTCCCGTGGTGAAGCTAAATACTATCAGGACCGTGATGAGTATTGTAGCAATTGAAGATCTTCATCTCGAGCAGTTAGACGTGAAGACGGCGTTTCTTCACGGAGATCTAGAAGAGGAGATATACATGCACCAGCCAGAAGGTTTCTCAGAAGAAAAGAAGAAAAAGAACCTGGTGTGCAGACTCAAGAAGAGCTTGTATGGCCTGAAACAAGCCCCAAGACAGTGGTACAAGAAGTTTGACGGCTTCATGCACAAGGAAGGTTTCCAGAAGTGCAACGCCGACCACTGTTGCTACTTCAAAAGATATCAGTCCAGCTATATCATCCTACTGCTGTATGTTGATGATATGTTGGTTGCAGGAGCAGATATGGAGGATATCAAGAGTTTGAAGCAGCAGCTGTCAAAGGAGTTTGACATGAAGGACTTGGGTCCAGCGAAGAAGATCCTTGGAATGCAAATCACGAGAGATAAGAAGAGAGGTCTCTTGCAGTTATCTCAGACGGAGTACATCAACCGTGTTTTGCAGAGATTCAACATGGGCGACGCCAAGCCTGTGAGCACACCCTTGGCCAGTCATTTTCGCTTATCGAAGGATCAGTCTCCTCAGTCAGAAGAAGAGAAAGAGAGTATGGCTCAGGTACCTTACGCCTCAGCTATCGGAAGCTTGATGTACGCTATGGTCTGTACGAGACCAGACATTGGCCATACAGTGGGAGTGGTCAGCCGGTTTATGTCGAATCCAGGAAAAGCTCATTGGGAAGCGGTCAAGTGGATTCTGAGATATCTACGAGGCACCACACAGAAGTGTTTGCACTTTGGTAAGGGAGAGGTAGAAGTGCAAGGGTACGTAGATGCAGACTTCGGCGGCGAAGTTGATCACCGAAGAAGCACCACCGGCTATGTATTCACCGTTGGAACTACAGCTGTTAGTTGGATGTCACAGGTACAGAAGATCGTTACCCTATCCACTACAGAAGCTGAGTATGTTGCAGTGACTGAAGCCAGTAAAGAGATGATATGGCTTCAAGGTTTGTTGACAGAGCTGGGATTCAAACAGGAGAAGAATGTTTTGCACAGTGATAGCCAGAGTGCGATACACTTGGCGAAAAATTCAGCATTTCATTCTAGAACGAAGCATATTGCGCTTCGGTACCACTTCATCAGATCCCTGTTGGAAGATGACGTGTTGAAACTGGAAAAGATTCCAGGAAGTAAGAATCCAGCAGACATGTTAACAAAGACGGTGACAGTTCAGAAACTGGAGTTGTGCGCAACTTCAGTTGGCCTTCATGCATAGATGATGAGGGCGGAGCCACACAGGAGAGGAGCTTGATGAGATAGCCTGATTGACGGCGGTTTGATCTCCAAGTGGGAGATTGTTAGAAGTGGGTGGAAACAACCGTTCTCGCGCGGCGACGAGGAGCTCCGACGACTCACGACAGCTCGATGTCGGACGCAGGCGTAGCCCAGGTGAGAAGTCGATGGTCGCCGGCGGAGCTCAGCTCTGCGTTTGCGGATGGCGAGCTCTGGTTTGGGCGAGCTAAGCCGCGTTTGGCGATGGCGGAGCTCTGCGTTTGGGGGGTCCGACCTTGCGTTCGGGGCCTGCGTAACTTGGCGTCAAAGAAGGACCGTCTCGCGTGCTGGCGACAGCTGTCGCCAGCCTGTCATTTCCGTCTATAAAACCCCTCCCCCGTCGACCTAGGGTTTCAGTAGAGCTTCCCCCTTCTCCGATTTCTTCTCTGGCGGCGGCGGCGAACTGCCCAAAATCGCAGCAGCGATTTGTGATAAATCTCCGGTGTGAGGGGATTTAAGAGGAGAGAGAGATCATTAAAGAGGGTGTATTTATAGTGGGGTATTCATTTATTCTCAAGTGAGAATTGAAAGGGTTCATACCCTTTAATTATTAACACTGGAGCTACAGTGTTTAATTGAGAGATCTCATTTTTGATCTGCTCTTATAATTGTAATTTCTTGTTTGATTAATAAGAAATTATCTGTGTGGCTCCCGAGGACGTAGGCAGTTGCCGAACCTCGTTAAATCTTTGTGTACTTTTCTCTATACTGCGTTTCTGTTGTATTAGGGGTTTAGGCGTTAAATTCCCAACACCAACTAGCCATTAGTATTTGACAACGCGTCCCGCCCTTTTTTTCCGTTTTCCATTTGTTTTGAAGATTCCATAGAATAATTGAAATTCTTGCCACTGCAGAAAATCTTTCACGGTACATGGAAAAGGTGGCATCCAATCCAGATCCAGGTAACTGACAACCCTACATTAGTATTTTGTCTTTAAAAAACTTTCAGCTAGATATCTAAGGTAAGAATTGAGAAGCCCAATTTAGCTTGTAAATGCTATGATAAGGAGAATTTAAACACGAGAACTCGACAAACATTGCTATAGAGTATCTTACATTTTAGTGTATACTGAGTTTAGTCTTTTTGGTAGGGGACTCCTGTAACTAGTGAATAAAGAAATCCAGGACAACACTTGAGAGGATCAACTAAGGAAAGAAAGATTGAGCAGAAACCGGGCGCCTCTCTTTTCCAATTCTACTGAATTTGAGTAGGAATGAGATAGGATACACTCGCATAACAACTCAGGGTCAATATTCATTACGTATAATGTACTGTTAGTTAAGAGATTAACTCTGTTAGTTAACATATTCATTTATATAACTCAGTTATTCCTAATATATTGTTTATGGGTCACAGGACATCAGAATTCTATATATAAACATGTTTTATATTGTTAAACATGTTTTATATTATTGATAAAGGATGACATCTTGTAAGAGTACATTACATGAGGAAACTTTTCATGTGCATAAAATTTCATCCATAGAAAGATTAGACCAAGGTTTGAAATCTCAGTACAAGTCATGGTTGATTCCCCTTTTTTTATTATTGGCATATGGAGCTTCAGGGGTTTCAACATTTTCAAAACGGAAGTATCATCACATAGAATAGATTAGTTTAATCACAAGCTGAGCTTCACTGTTAATTCTTCTTTTTCCCAATACCAACACTGGAAAATAAACATTTTGATACTTTAAAATATCATATGCCCTCTTCTACTAGTCATTATGAGACAATATCAATGTATATTTGTCATTATTGGCCATTATCTACTGTGCCAATGGTTTCAATAGAATGTGACCAACATGCTTACAATCCGATATTATGTGGCTGACCCATACAAGTATCTGACTAATGCTTCAAACATTGGATCGAACTATAAGGGATCCCCCTTGTAATGCTAACTGAAATGCACACCTGGATCAATAAAATAACAACTAAGAGTTGAAATTCCACAAAAGAACTCAAAAAACTACGTAGAGAAGAGTTAACAGATCCCTCAAAATATTCAGAATGTTTGGGGCACAAATCAGCCGGATAGAAGAACAGTAACATACCTTACTTCGAAGGTGAATGCCTGGTTTTTCTGATATCTTAGCTATAACTGGATCTGTGGGTGGGTAGCAGGTACGAATGCTTTTCACTCTGAAACACGGTCATTTTAACCCTTAATAGTCACAGAAGAAACAAATTAAGAGGTAAAAGTATTGTCAGCACTATCTCCTGTACCTTCCAGCAGTGCAAAAAAATTTCATAAGATGCACATAACGAGCCATGGGGGGTGGGAAATCTTCAGCAACAATAATACGAGACTACAAGAAAGAACAAACATGTATCGCAGAGTCCCATATCGGGAGGATAAAAGTAGAGGATAACATAACACCCATATGAAGGGGAATGAATGTAACCTGCAATTCTTTCACGTATAAATCATTGATACCATGCTTCCTTCTAACCTTCTGTCCATTTTTACTAACAACCTATAAGTTAATAACATCAAAATTATGACAAAGATTGACATGATTAGAAGTTTATCATATGATAGCCAAATATAGCATGCCTGTCACTTTTAAAGGCACAGAACAAGACCCAGGGAGGAGAGACTGCGACAGCACAGAAGGAACAAGATGTATGATGAGAACGAAGTTCTCTGAACTCCAAAGCCAACAGAGATACTTACCAATTGTGATGATGACTGAAGAGCATAAGCAAGCAAATGTTTGGTGACTGAATTCTTGTTGTGAGAATATTTGGTGACTAAATCCCTGATCTTCTTAAACGACGCAACAACTGATATTGGCACTGCACAGAAAAAAGACATGTCAAAAGCCAGTATAGTCAACTTTATGATGTTATTATTATACTTTAAATGTCATCTCCGCTTTGAGGGGGTGTTTGGTTCAATTTCTACAAATTATAGGAAATGTTTTCCACCCAAAATATGATTTCCATGTATTTCTTAAAAAAAATTATAGGAAAAGTTTTGAGAAGTTAAAAAGTACCAATTGTCAGGCACCTACCATCACCGAAAGCAGCCTCACATTTTTGACAAGAGCACCCACCTTTTGACAATTGAAAAAGAAAACAAAATGGTGGAGCCTACTGCTACAGTAAAATATTAATATTTTATTGTGCATAGTATTTTTCCAAATCCTATAAATAGGCTCCAGATCCTTAAGGAAAATCTCATCCCAGAAATAACTTATATAGAAGAGTGAGAGAGAAAAAAAATAGAGAGAGTTTCTCCTTGAAAAGAGAGAGAGTTTGTAACTCCAGAGTTTTCTCCTCATAGTGAATTCTTCTATCTTTGCCCGTGGACGTAGGCAATCAAGTGCCGAACCACGTAAATCTGTGTGTCTAACATTTTATCTCTATGCGACCCTGCTCTATTGGGCCCCGGTTTTGTTCCAACAAGTGGTATCAGAGCCAACTTAGGGTACTTGTATATATCTACTTATCGTATGCTCTGTGGCTGCCACCAAAGGTGGATCCTCCACATCAGAAAATAAGTTAGGTTATCATTTACCCTTTGGAGGTGACGGGTACTATTCACGAGTACGATACTGTTCACAAATACGGTACTATTCATAAGTACGGTACTATTTACGGATACGGTTACTGTTCATAAATACAGTACTATTTACGTGAAATAGTAAGAAGTTACTGTTCATGGTAGAAGCAATGGCGGCGAAGTTCAAGATCGAGAAATTCGACGGGAGTAATTTCTCACTGTGGAAGTTGAAGATAAAGGCTATCTTGAGAAAAGATAATTGCCTGGCGGCCATCGGTGCAAGGCCGGACGACATCACAGATGATAAGAAGTGGAACGAGATGGACGAAAATGCTATTGCAAATCTCCATCTGGCATTAGCAGACGGGGTGCTGTCAAGCATAGAGGAAAAGAAGACAGCAAAGGAGATCTGGGATACTCTAACAAAGCTATATGAGGCGAAATCCATGCACAATAAAATCTTCTTAAAAAGGAGATTTTACACTCTAAGGATGACGGAATTTACATCGATGACCGACCACATCAACACCCTAAACACACTGTTCTCCCAACTCACAACGTTGGGATATACAGTTGGTGCGAATGAACGTGCAGAACTTCTACTTCAGAGTCTACCTAACTCGTATGATCAACTCATCATCAACCTGACGAACAACGTCCTCACGGACAATCTAGTCTTCGACGATGTTGCAGCCGCTGTTCTGGAGGAAGAAAATCGGCGCAAGAACAAGGAAGACAGGCAGACAAGTTCGCAGCAAGCGGAGGCCTTGTCGGTGACGAGAGGAAGATCAACGGAACGTGGCTCCAGTGGGAGTCATACCCATGGTAGATCCAAATCAAGAAGTAAGAAGAATATCAAATGCTACAACTGTGGCAAAAGAGGACACGTCAAATCGGAGTGTTGGCATAACAAGAAGAGTGGAGATAAAAAGTCTTCAGAGCCATCAACATCTCAAGGATGCGTTGTCAGCACGTCAGAGAATGGTGAAATTCTATTCAGTGAAGCAACCACTGTTGATGAAGGCAGAAAGAAGTTTGCTGATGTCTGGCTTCTAGATTCAGCAGCCTCTTGGCACATGACCTCTCGGAGAGATTGGTTTCACAAATATGAACCTATCTCAGGAGGATCTGTATTCATGGGGAATGATCATGCCTTGGAGATTTGCGGTATTGGTACTATCAAAATCAAAATGTTTGATGGTATAATACGCACCATTCAAGATGTGCGACATGTGAAGGGTTTGAAGAAGAATCTATTGTCTTTGGGACAATTAGATGAGCTCGGGTGCAAGACTCATATAGAAAATGGAGTCATGAAGATTATTAGAGGGGCGCTTGTGGTGATAAAAGGAGAAAAGATAGCTGCAAATCTGTACATGCTCAAGGGAGAGACTCTGCAGGAAGCTGATTCATGTGTGGCATCAACCAGCCGTGGAGAAGAACAAACCATGATGTGGCATCGTAAGCTAGGCCACATGTCAGAACGAGGCTTGAAGGTTCTCTCCGATCAGAAACTGCTTCTTGGACTTAATTCGGTAGCTCTTCCATTTTGCGAGCATTGTGTTACAAGCAAGCAGCATCGACTGAAGTTCGAGCATTGTGTTACAAGCAAGCAGCATCGACTGAAGTTCAACACATCGAGTTCTAGAAGCAAGGCTATTTTGGAACTGGTTCATTCTGATGTATCTAGAAGCAAGGCTATTTTGGAACTGGTTCATTCTGATGTATGGCAAGCACCAGTTACATCCTTAGGAGCAAAGTACTTTGTGTCCTTTATTGATGATTACTCCAGGAGATGTTGGATGTATCCTATCAAGAAGAAGGCGGATGTGTTCTCAGTCTTTAAAGCCTACAAAGCGCGGGTCGAGCTTAAATCTGAGAAGAAGATCAAGTGCTTAAGGTCAGATAATGGAGGAGAATACACAGACGGTGAATTCCTAGCATTCTGCAAGCATGAAGGCATCAAAAGACAATTCAGTACGGCTTATACTCCTCAACAAAATGGAGTGGCGGAGCGGATGAACAGAACTCTGTTGGAAAGAACAAGAGCTATGTTGGCTACTGCAAATCTGGAAAAAGTCTTTTGGGCGGAAGCAGTAAAAACCGCCTGTTATGTGGTGAATCGATCTCCATCAAGTGCAATACAATTGAAGACGCCGATGGAGATGTGGACTGGCAAGTCAGCTGATTATTCCAACCTCCATATATTTGGAAGTCCAGTGTACGTAATGTACAATACCCAAGAAATTACAAAGCTGGATTCAAAATCCAGAAAATACATATTCTTGGGGTATGCTGATGGAGTAAAGGGGTATCGCCTGTGGGATCCCACTGCCCGCAAGGTTATCATCAGCAGAGATGTTATCTTTGTAGAGAACCAACTACAAAGTGAAGAGAAAGAAAGCAGTTCGAGGAAGGACTCAGAGACTGTAGCTGTGCAGGTAGAAGATAATCTGAATTCTTCTGAAGTGACACCGGAGCATGATGTACAAGAACCAGTCGAGGCCGAGACTCCAGAAGTTCGAAGGTCAACTCGTGAGAGAAGACCACCGACTTAACACTCGGAGTATATTACGGAGAGTAATGTCGCATACTGTCTTCTAACAGAAGATGAAGAGCCATCAACTTTTCATGAAGCTATAAATGGCACAGATGCATCTTTGTGGATGGTAACAATGCAGGAAGAAATTGAAGCTCTCCATAAGAACAAGACTTGGAAACTTGTGTCACTGCCGCAAGGAAGAAAGACCATTGGAAACAAATGGGTCTAAAAGATCAAGCGAAATGGCGATGATCAAGTGAAGCGGTATCGTGCTAGATTGGTGGTAAAAGGATATGCTCAGAAAGAAGGTATTGATTTTAATGAAATATAGATTGGTGGTAAAAGGATATGCTCAGAAAGAAGGTATTGATTTTAATGAAATATTTTCTCCTGTAGTTCGACTAACAACAGTCCGAATTGTCCTGGCTATGAGCGTTATATTTGACCTACATCTAGAATAGCTAGATGTGAAAACAACATTTCTTCATAGAGATCTTGAAGAAAAAATTTACATGCTCCAACCAGAAGGTTTTGAAGAAAAAGGAAAAGAGAACTTGGTTTGCAGATTGAACAAATCTCTGTACGGTCTAAAGCAGGCGCCGAGGTGTTGGTACAAGAGATTTGATTCATTCATCATGAGCCTTGGATACAACAGACTTAATTCAGACCCTTGTGCATATTTCAAGAGGTTTGGTGAAAATAACTTTGTTATCTTATTGTTGTATGTTGACGACATGTTGGTTGCAGGCCCCAACAAAGATCGTATCAAAGAATTAAAGGCTCAGTTGGCTAGGGAATTTGAAATGAAGGATTTAGGATCTGCAAACAAGATTCTAGGGATGCAAATTTACCGAGACAGAGTTAATAGGAAGATTTGGCTTTCTCAAAAGAATTATTTAAAGAAAATCTTGCGGCGTTTTAACATGCAAGATTGTAAGTCAATTGCTACCCCACTTCCTGTTAATTTTAAGTTATCCTCCAGTATGAGTCCTAGCAGTGAAGAAGAGATGATGGAGATGTCTCGAGTACCGTATGCATCAGCAGTGGGAAGCTTAATGTTCGCGATGATTTGTACAAGACCAGACATTGCACAAGCAGTAGGAGTGGTTAGTCGATACATGGCGAATCCTGGTAAAGAGCATTGGAATGCTGTAAAGAGGGTTCTAAGATACATTCAAGGAACCTCAAATGTTGCATTATGTTATGGGGGATCTGATTTTATTGTCAGTGGATATGTTGATTCTGATTATGCAGGTGATCGTGATAATAGCAAATCCACCACAGGTTATGTGTTTGCACTTGCTGACGGAGCTGTAAGCTGGGTTTCAAAACTGCAGTCAGTTGTGGCTACTTCAACAACAGAAGCAGAATATGTAGCAGCTACACAAGCTAGTAAAGAAGCGATGTGGTTGAAGATGGTGCTGGAGGAACTCGGCTATGAACAAAAGAAGATTTCTCTATTTTGTGACAGTCAGAGTGCTTTGCATTTGGCAAGAAATCCAGCCTTTCATTCAAAGACCAAACACATTCGAGTTCAGTACCACTTTGTTCATGAGAAAGTGGAAGAAGGAACAGTGGATATGCAGAAAATTCACACCAAAGACAACCTAGCTGATTTTTGACAAAACCAGTTCAAACCGACAAATTTATTTGGTGTTGATCCTCGTGTGGCCTGACGGAGACGTAAGCAACATGAAGATGGCAAGATAGAAAGATGATGTGAAGATATGATTAATGCTCAATCAAATCTTCAAGTGGGAGATTGTCAGGCACCTACCATCATCGAAAGCAGCCTCACATTTTTGACAAGAGCACCCACCTTTTGACAATTGAAAAAGAAAACAAAATGGTGGAGCCTACTGCTATAGTAAAATATTAATATTTTATTGTGCATAGTATTTTTCCAAATCCTATAAATAGGCTCCAGATCCTTAAGGAAAAACTCATCCCAGAAACAACTTCTTATATAGAAGAGTGAGAGAGGAAAAAAAATAGAGAGAGTTTCTCCTTGAAAAGAGTGAGAGTTTGTAACTCCAGAGTTTTCTCCTCATAGTGAATTCTTCTATCCTTGCCCGTGGACGTAGGCAATTAGTGAATTCTTCTATCCTTGCCCGTGGACGTAGGCAATCAAGTGCCGAACCACGTAAATCTGTGTGTCCAACATTTTATCTCTACTTTTGCTCTACTATTGCTGCGATTCTGCTCTATTGGGCCCCGGGTTTGTCCCAACACCAATTTACTTGTTTTTTTTACTTTGCTTGTTTGGTTCAAAACAAGAAAATGGCCCATAACTTTATAAAAAATAGCAAGATTTCCTATAATTTGTAGAAATTGAACCAAACACCCCCTAAATTTCTAGAAAAGTATCAACTTTATAGAAAATTTTCAATGTGGTGTTAGATTTCTGGGTGATTTCTGTCCATTTTAAGAGGAAATTGATTTCTAAAAATTTTGATACTTTTTTACACTTTACAGAAAACATTTCTGTAATTTTTTTTTGAACCAAACACAGTTTACGGAAATCTATAGAAATTTTTTAATTACAGAATTACCATTGTCATACATTTTAAGAAAACTTTTCTATAAAATTGTGCAACCAAACACCCCCTAAAATTATTGTTCAATGTTTATTATAATTATATTGAGAAACCAGTTTTGAGATAACAATACAATGTCAGGGGAAGGTAGAAACATATAAACCAACTCTTTGCAACCAATTTATAAGCATCATAATATGCTTCACTGTCAATTTCGTCATAAGACCAGACTTCACTTGCAGGGTCGATAAGAATATGATAAAGAAATTTATCACACTAATCTAGTTCCAATGGTCTATTGGATTTGGCTAGAATTTTTTTTTTGTCTGTGTCATATGCAGGATACATGAACACGAATATTTGGAAATCAATAAATTAACAGATACATCAAAACCATCTAAAGTACACAAAGCATGAAAGTTTGAGGAACTCATGCAATATACCATAACTAAACGGGATAAAGCACATGGCGAAGATAGTGAATTGTTGAAAATTGGCTAACATCAGAGAATTACCAAATCCGTCACGATCTATATTGATGAATTTCCTCAATAGTTCTGTAGTAACAAGGTTGATATCACTGAAGTAGAATTCCACCTATCATTTCAAATCAAATTAAGCACAAAGTATTGGGAGCATATTGACCCATAATGATTGAATACAGACACATTTAACATTTAAAAACACCAAAAGGAAAACAAAACATTGACATTTCAAACCGAATATACAGGAAGCACAATGCATTAAGAGCATAAACATGTAAATATATCAAAACAGAAACAAAACAGTGGCATCAAGATGTTTACAATCATATATTCATAAACATAGTATTTTATGGTGATTAATGCATATCAAAATTTCAATGTAATTATTGTGAAATCCTCTTTATGGTCAATCAACTTGGTCTTGTGAATCGAGTACGGAGCTTTGGCCTCATGACTTGGTTAGTCTTCATTATCCTGATACTAGCCTAATACTTTGCTAGGGAGGATGTTTCTCACTTGCAACGTCAAACTCATCCTCTTTGATTTAGGACTTTCAGCCTACAAAATGAACTTCAAGAAATAAAACCAAGCATGACAAGTCCAACTACGCACCTCTAGACTACTCCCTGCATAACTGCTTAACCTCGTCCTTCACTCCAAAAGCTTTCAACACTTCCGTCTCAAATAACCGCTTACAGCATGTAATTTTAAAGAATTTAATCAACAGAAATGTCTCCAAGAATCGCCCAAGTTAATTTAAGAAGAGAGAGAGAGAAGAGAAGAGGGGACTTTATTGTGGGTATTAACACTGTAGCTACAGTGTTTATTTGAGAGATCTCAGTTTAGGGATCTGCTCTTGATTTGTAATTTCTTATTAGATTAAATAAGAAATTGACTGTGTGGCTCCCGAGGACGTAGGTAGTTGCCGAACCTCGTAAATCTTGGTGTATTTTTCTCTATACTGTGTTTCTGTTGCATTAGGGGTTTAGGCGTTAAATTCCCAACAACTGGTATCAGAGCGTGAAACGATCTAAAGGAAGTCAGATTCAAGTGGGAGCCATGGCCGCAGATGAGGGAAAGGTGAGAATAGAGAAGTTTGATGGATCAGATTTCGGATTCTGGAAAATACAGATAGAGGATTATTTGTATCAGAAAAATCTGTATCAACCACTCTCGGGGAAGAAGCCGGAGGGTATGAAGGAAGAAGATTGGAATCTTCTGGGCAGAAAAGCCCTCGGGGTTATTCGTTTGACGTTAACCCGTAATGTTGCTTTTAACATTGCAAAGGAAAAGACCACGGCGGGTCTTATGGCAGCACTCTCAAATATGTATGAGAAGCCATCAGCCTCAAATAAAGTCCATTTGATGAGGCGGTTGTTTAATCTGCGAATGGCGGAAGGTGCATCGGTAGCACATCATCTCAATGAACTCAATACAGTCACGACCCAATTGAGTTCAGTTGATATTGAGTTTGATGAGGAAGTTCGAGAGTTGATCCTTTTGTCTTCCCTACCAGAGAGTTGGAACGCTACAGTCACGGCAGTGAGTAGCTCGTCGGGAAAGAAAAAGTTGAAGTTCGACGACGTTCGTGATCTGGTTCTCAGTGAGGAGATCCGACGGAGAGAGTCGGGTGAAGCTACAACCTCTTCAGTATTACATACAGAGTCAAGAGGTAGAAGTTCAACCGGAGGAAATGGATCAGATGATAGGAGATCCAAATCCAAAAATCCCAACAGTTCGAAGGCTATCGAGTGTTGGAAATGCGGGAAAACCGAGCACTACAAGAATCAGTGCAGGAGTGCACGGGAGGAGTGGGAGGCAAATGCAGATGTGAACGTTGCTTCCACCTCAGGAGGAGATGATGCGCTGATATGCTTTTTGGAGAGCAAGGAGGACTCTTGGGTGTTGGACTCGGGAGCATCATTTCATGCTACTTCTCAGAAAGAATTCCTCGAGAAGTATATCCCCGGAAACCTTGGAAATGTATATCTTGGTGACGATCAAGCATGTGCCATTATTGGCAAAGGTGTAGTGAAGATTAAGCTGAATGGGTCAGTATGGGAGCTGAAGGATGTCAGGTATATTCCCGACCTGAAGAGGAACTTAATCTCAGTAAGACAGCTGGCTAGTGAAGGCTATACGACGACTTTCCATGGCGATGACTGGAGGATTTCGAAAGGCGCAATGACGATTGCCAGAGGCAGGAAGACCGGTACCATGTATATGACAACAGGTGCACGTTGTTCAATCTCAGTTACAGCAGGCAATTAGACTTCAAAGCTGTGGCACCAGAGACTCGGTCATATGAGTGAAAAGGGGATGAAGATTATGCACACAAAAGGAAAACTCCCAGGTTTACAATCAGTAGAGATTGATATGTGTGAAGAATGCCTAGTTGGAAAGCAGAAGAGAGTTAGCTTTCAGACAAGTAGCAGACCCCCCAGGAAGCAGAAGCTGGAGCTTGTTCACTCAGATGTTTGGGGACCAACAACCACCACGTCGATTGGTGGGAAACACTACTTCGTGACTTTTATTGATGATCACTCTCGGAAAGTGTGGGTCTACTTTCTGAAGAAAAAGTCAGAAGTGTTTGAGGCTTTCAGAAGATGGAAAGCCATGGTCGAGAATGAGACCGGTTTGAGGGTAAAGAAACTCAGAACAGACAATGGTGGTGAGTATGAAGACACCAGATTCAAGAAGTTCTGCTATGAGCACGGTATCAGAATGGAGAGGACCGTGCCCGGCACGCCTCAGCACAATGGTGTGGCTGAGCGCATGAATAGAACCTTGACAGAAAGAGCCAGAAGCATTCGGACGCAGTCAGGCCTACCAAAGCAGTTCTGGGCAGAAGCAGTCAACACAGCAGCTTACTTGATCAACCGAGGTCCATCGGTTCCATTGGAGCATAGAATACCAGAAGAGGTATGGTGCGAAAAGGAGGTAACCCTCTCACATCTCAGAGTTTTCGGTTGTGTAGCTTATGTGCATATAAGTGATCAAGGCAGGAATGAGCCTGATCCCAAGTCTAAGAAATGCACATTCATCGGGTATGGTGAAGACGAGTTCGGCTACCGTATTTGGGACAACGAAAACAAGAAGGTGATCAGGTACAGAGATGTGATATTCAACGAGAAGGTGATGTATAAGGACATGCACAAAACAGATGACGGTGACTCAGAAAGTGAGTCAATATTTGTAGATGCAGATGATGTCCCGGATAACCTCTCGGAAGAACCCAATGCAGAAGGTCCTCAGCCAGAAGAGACTGTTGGACAGAATGGTGCGCAGAAGCCCGACGCACCAGCTCCGATATTAAGGAGAAGTACTTCCTCCTGTGCCTAACAGCAGATACATGAATTATATGTTGCTGACAGATGGAGGAGAGTCTGAAAGCTTTGATGAAGCTTGTCAGAGTGGAGATGCGAGCAAGTGGGAGTTTGCTGCGAAAGAAGAGATGAAATCTCTGATCTCCAACCAGACATGGGAACTAGCTAAGTTGCTCATGGGGAAGAAGGCACGTCACAACAAGTGGGTGTATCGAGTGAAAAAGGAGTAGAATGGTTCCAGAAGATACAGAGCCCGACGAGTTGTCAAAGGATTTCAACAGATTATCCAAGGAAGAAAGGATCCAGCGAATATGTTGACAAAGGCAGCGACCTTTCAGAAACTGGAGTTGTGTGCAACTTCAGTTGGTCTTCATGCATAGATGATGAAGACGGAGCCACACAGGAGAGGAGCTTGATGGGATAGCCTGTTGTCGTCGGTTTGGTCTCCAAGTGGGAGATTGTTAGGTTGGAGGTGGATACCAACCTCCGACGACGGAGGAGCTTCGACGAGCTCCAGGATAACGCGATGGTGAGCTCGAGCAGTTGAGCTCAAAATTGGCGAACGCGACCCTCGTTTGGCGAACGCGATCCTCGACGTGTTGGCGGCTCGACCCCCGCGTTCAGAACTCCGACGTCCGCGTTCAGCACCCCCACGCTCGCGTTTTTTGGCCTCCCACACCCGCGTCCGAGCAACCGCTGGCGACAGGCTGTCGCCAGCCTGTCAATGCTTCGGCTATAAAAGCCAACCCCAACCCTAGGGTTTCGCTGCTCCTTCTCCCCGACTTTTCTCTGGCGGCGGTGAAAAACCCTCAAAACGCAGCAGCGTTCTTTCTCCTAAAATCGCAGCAGCGATTTTCCATTTAATCCCAGCTTTTCAACAGTGTTTTGAAAGGGGATTTAAGAAGAGAGAGAGAAGAGAAGAGGGGACTTTATTGTGGGTATTAACACTGTAGCTACAGTGTTTATTTGAGAGATCTCAGTTTAGGGATCTGCTCTTGATTTGTAATTTCTTATTAGATTAAATAAGAAATTGACTGTGTGGCTCCCGAGGACGTAGACAGTTGCCGAACCTTGTAAATCTTGGTGTATTTTTCTCTATACTGCGTTTCTGTTGCATTAGGGGTTTAGGCGTTAAATTCCCAACAGCTCCTAATGGTTCTTTTCTACAATAAGGATTCTAGAGAAACAACTCCTATCTGATGAAACTCAAAATTTCAAAAATCACCACACACTCTCTGTATCTTGACCAAAGGCACAATATATTTCCAAGACTATAATTTGTTCAACCAAGAATCTTTAATTCAAAGAACTTCAGCATCAAACTCCTACATAATTAATTAAGCGATTTATACTCAAAAGTAACTGCATTAGCTTATAGAAGCACAATTATCAGGAAAAAATAAGCCAATTTCAACACTAAAATCACTCGATCGACTACAATCTCAAGAATCTAAGCAAGTACCAAGGAAAATAACGAGTTAAAAAGTGATTTTTACCTGATTAACGATCTTCTTAGCGATTTCATCTGGGAGAAGTTTCACCTGACTCGAACCAGCCGATCTCTTCCCTCCTCTCCGATTTGATTCATTCGATATCTTGGATCCTCTCCGATCCGGTCCACTCTGAAATTAAGGTTAGAGTTAGGGTTAGGCTTAAGGTTATGGTTAGGGTTAAGGCGCAAGAATTTTAACCTGACTTGAATCGGCCGATAGCGGCGGTCCTCTCCAATTCGATCCTATCTGACACGAATCGACCAGCCAATTACTTGATCTCAAGCTCCAATTGAAGGCATTCTTATGATCTCGGGTCTCCGGAGATGGAGGAGGACGTGGCGGAAGCCCTGATCGCCGTCGGGGAACGACCAAAGAAGCATCGGGATTGAGGTTGATGGAGGCGGCGGCGGTTCTTGAGCTCGACGGATTGGATGATGGAGACGAAGGAACGTTTTGATCGCCAGAGATCGCTAGGGCTTTGGTTTTTTCGAGGATTTCTTGATCCATTTTGAGATATTTTATGGATCGTTTTGCGAATGGCGGGAGAGACGGAAGAAGCGGGAGCGGGTTCTTATAGACAACCGACCTATGCTTTGTTCAGTTATTTACGGGGTTGCCACTCTCTGAATGGCATCTGACGTGGCATTGTCAGTGAGAACTGAGCCTGGATCCATGGAGCAATTGGATCAGGCCCAAATCTGATATATTAATGAAATAACTGGTAATCTAATAACAGAACTCAATTTATTTTATAAACAACTTATTAGTTGGTTATTTAAAAAAAAATTAGCGCGTATGATTTTTCTCCCCGAAAAGAAAAATAATGATAGATTTTTTGATAAATTCTTAATATTATTTAATTTTAGAAAAAATCTCCAATGACCCAAAATATGGGACCAACAGGGGGACAGGTGAGGTGTCATCATCCTATTGCATAATGAGCTGATCATTATGCAATAGGAAGGAGGACATCTCACATGTCCTCCTGTTGGTCTCATATTTTGGGTCACTGTAGCAAAGCTCTTAATTTTATAGTATCTGGCTTTTGGTTATGATTTAGACATAGATAGCTATTAATACACCTAAGAGCCAAAACAATATAAAATAAATATTACTTTTTTGAATAAATTGTATATATTTGATAAGTTAGCTAATAATTTCTTTATTCTAGAAGAATTGATACTTTTGATTATTTATATACTAGTGTTATGCCCATGCCTTGCTGTGAATATTATTTACCGAGGTATATTTTCTACCAAATTGATAATATAGATTTTATATATAGCTATTTATTAAAAGTTCAACAAGGATTTTTTTTACTATAACTATTTATAAAGTGAATTTTTAAACCAGTTAACTTTTATAGTGAATATGAAAGATTATTCACTATCATACCTCCAAGTGACTTGATTGTGATGTGCTATGTTATTACAGTGAATATGAAAGAATATTCCAATTTAATTTGGTTACTGTTAGTCTTACTTAAGCACTCATGTATATGTGAAGTACCTCCAAAAAAAATATTTCTACAGGTAAAAGGTTATCTAGATTTCTTGTTAGTAATATCCCGAAATCCATTTGGATTCTTATAAATCAGAAGCTCATTTCATATGAATTTTAAAAAATATATATGAAATATAAGAAATGAAATTTTTTTATGAAAGAAGCAAAAGAAAGAAGGCATATAAAAGATAAAATTATCACTGTCGAAGAGCAGATCCCCGACAATCAAATCCTGCAACTTGAGCAATTAGCCTTATAGAAAAACCTTTCAAATATTGGATTTTTATGGGGAAAATAGTTGGGGGATATTTTTGTTCCGGATTGTTGTTATTTGGCCAAAAATATGATCTATAATAAAAAGAAAAACATTGCTTCTAATGATAAAAGTGAAAACGTGAACATGAGATTTGAGAGGAATGACTAATTAGAAGCCCCCACCCCCACCCCCACCCCCACCTCCACGCCCCGGTGCTTTGTGGAGAGAAATGACGACAATGGCAACCAAAACAAGGAACACGGGGACGGGGTTGAGAGGTCGGGTTTGATTGGTGAATTAATGTGGGGCATGTATACACAAATTTTGGAAGCGTTTTAGAGTGACTCCAACCGTCCTCCATAACTGCATTTGCCAGCCCTTTCTGGGATCCAACCCAAGCAGCAAATTATAGAGTGCTGGTAACGCGACCGTGGTGAGCGTGCCAAAACTGGGTTTGAGGCTGCAAAAATTTGGAGATTTCTCTCTCTAAATTTGCAGGCAACCTTATATTACTAGCTCCAAAAAATGACGAATTTAACCCCTCACTCTCGCTTAACAACACCTTTAATTATTCCAATTGAGTGTACATTATTTTTTTGTTACTTTACTTAAATCTATATATATTTACTAGTAAGATATATATATATATATACATAATAAATTATATTATATATATATTATAACTTATATATATATATTAAATATTTTTTTAATAAAAATAATATCATGAGAAATGTCTCGTCGATACCTTCAAAATAAGACTAATATCGAAATATAAAATTGAAAAACAAGTAATTAGAAATGATAATACATTGAAAATTAAACGGAAATAAAACACATTAACTTAGAATTACATCGAAACTTTAATAAAAAAAGTTACATCACTTCATTGCCGTGTTTCTCTCACAAATGTTCAATTAATGCATTTCGAAGTGCGAAGTGTGCTTCTTTGTCTTTGAATTTCTTATGCCGGGTCAGGAATTGTCGGAACCGTTCGACATTCTTCAACATTTGAAATTGATGGTGGAGTAGAAACGACAATATCTTCTTGCTCATCACGTTCATCCTCAATAATCATGTTGTGCATTATTATGCAAGTGGTCATGATATCATGCAAAGTTCGTTTATCCCAAAAACGTGCAGGGCCCTTGATTATAGCAAATCTTGACTGGAGAACACCAAACGCTCGCTCCACATCTTTTCGACAAGCTTCTCGCATTATTGCAAAATATTATTTCTTTTTATCTTCGGATTTGGAAATGGTTTGAACAAGCGTTGGCCATTTCGGATATATGCCATCGGCTAAATAATAACCAACATCATAATTCTTTCCTTGAATTGTATAATGAGCAGGAGGAGTAATACCTTGTGTTAGGTTGTCAAACAAATTAGATGCTTGTATTACATTAATATCGTTATTAGAACCTGGCAAGCCAAAGAATGCATGCCATATCCATAGGTCTTACGATGCTACTGCCTCAAGAATAATGGTCGGGCCTCTATGACGTACTGAGTATTGTCCCGCCCATGCTGTTGGACAGTTTTTCCATTCTTAATGTATACAGACTAGACTTCCCAACATTCCTGGGAATCCTCGCTCTTCGCCTTTTCGTAACAGTCTTGCAACATCGTCGGTATTAGGGGGTCTAAGATATTCATCTACATACACTTCTACAATTGCTCTGCAAAATCTCTTCAAACATTCAATTACAATTGACTCACCAATCTTACATATTCGTCAGTATTATCTGCCGATGCATCATACGTCAACATGCGAAATGCTACTGTTATTTTTTTGTAAAGTAGACAGTCCAAGCCAACCGACACCATCCACCTTTTGTACGAAATAGTTGTCGTGCTCTCGTACAACATCAACGATACGAAGGAAAATACTCCTTTGCATTCGGAATCGTCTACGGAATAAATTTGCACCGTATGTGGGATTATCAGAAAAATAGTCATTGTAGAGTCGAGAATTACCTTCTTCTCTCCCACGGTTGATTACCAAATGACCAGGAACTGAGCTGATACGCTTTGGCCTCTCTTCCTCTTTAGAGAAATAAGCCATTATTTCGTTGTTAGAGGCATATAGACGAGCTAAGGTTTCATCCTCCTCCTCCCATTGTTTCATATCCTCCTCACATTGTTCAACATAATGAGAAAAGGTTTCGTCATCAGAAGAAGAAGAAGAAGGTAGGTGTGATGGTCCAGCTAAATAGTTCATTGTTGAAGAGGGGATTTGGAGAAATGAAATATAGATCGGTGATGAGTTGTTAATAGTTGTATGTTGTGTCATTATATAATGTTTTTACCCACATTGGATTCTCCCACCCGCATTGTTTTCTACCCACATTGGATTCTCCCACTGGCGTTGGTTTTCTACCCAATTGGATTCTTTCCCGCATCGTTTTCTACCTACATTGGATTCTCCCACCCGCATCGTTTTCTACCCACATTGGATTTTCCCACTACGTTGGTTTTCTACCCATATTGGATTCTTTCCTGCATCGTTTTCTACCCATATTGGATTCTTCCACTGGCGTTGGTTTTCTACCCACATTGGATTCTTCAACCCGCATCATTTTCTACCCACATTGGATTCTCCCACTAGCATTGGATTCTCCATAATGTTTTCACTATAAATACTAGCACAACCCTCATTCCTCCATCACAACTCTTCTCATTCCTCCTCCATAACTCTTCTCAACAACTATTTGTCCTTCTCTTATGGCATCCAGTCGTGAAAAATCATTCTTACAAGAAGAATATCAAATTTTATGCGCTACATAGCTTGAAATATCTCAGGATCCAGTTTTAGGTTCCAATCAAAAGAAAGACAAGCTATGGGAGCGAGTTTTAGCTCTATTTCATGAAAGGATTTCTAACGTTTGCACTGGACATAGGAGTCCGAAGTCTCTCTCATGCCAAATGTAGTTAATTATGAAAGCCATCAGTAAATTTCAAGGATGTATTCGACAAGTTGAGCACCTCAATCCAAGCGGTGCTTCTGAACTTGATATTGTAAGTATATGAATTACATGTTTCTTGATTATTAAATTATTTTGCTCATTTGATTAATTCTTATTTCTTCTTTTGTGGTAGATTAAACGTGCTAGGATCATATTTGCAGAAGATCCAGAAGAGAAAAGAGGATTTCTATTTGATCATGTTTGGCCGATTTTGAAGGATTCAGGGAAATGGGCAAATATAAGCGTCATGTCTTCTGCATCTTCCAAAACTTCAAAGTCTCGCTTATCTCAAGGATCTGATTCAAGCTCTCCTATCATCGACTTAAATGAAGACAATGAGGAATATACTCCTAATGACGACGACCATTCGCCAATCAACATTTCAACTAATCGACCTATTGGAGGGAAGAAAGAGAAGTTGAGAAGACGACAAGAAATTGAAAGGAACCTTAACTTTGAAGCTTTTGCTAAAGGAAACCAAGAAATCTTAGAAGTTTTAAAAAGAGGTCAAGAACAACGAGAAAATGAAAGAATGACGATGAACCAGGCTATGATGTTAAAGGCTAAAAATGATAAGAAAAAGTTAGATCTTCAGCAAGAACGACAAGAGAAAGAAATTATGCTAGTTGATCTGGAAAAATGATAAGAAAAAGTTAGATCTTCAGCAAGAACGACAAGAGAAAGAAATTATGCTAGTTGATCTGGAAGCTATTACCGATCCAACAAAACAATTATGCTAGTTGATCTGGAAGCTATTACCGATCCAACAAAACGCGAATATTTTCGAATTAAACAACAACAGATTTTAAATAGAAATATAATCATGGGTTCCTCATCTAATACCCCTAATCCTGAATACAGCTACCCAGGAAGTCAATACGGAATACTTGACTATAGAGGAGGTGGATACGGAGGAGTTGACTTTCCAGACTTTTAGTATTTTTCATGTATTATGTTTTTCCTATTTGTCATGTAATTTTCAATTCATGTTTTTATTTTCTATGTAATGGTCGTGGATTTAGTAATATCAATGTCTGTTTATTTTAGTCCGAATGCTTATTTTATATTAATACATTTAATAATATTATTTATATTGTATAACTTTTACTATTTTTATTATTTTTATATATTTAAAAAAAACAACTCATGTGTTTATTAAATCAATTCTTATTTCTATGTTTGCTTCAAATATGCAGTCCCCTCCATATCACTATTCACCCAAAAAATTCCTATTTTATCCTTCAAACTAACTAACTACTTTTAGATATTCCACTTATGTTCTATTTAATTATTAGTTTATAATTTTTATATATTTTTAAAATAAGTAAAAGAATTATTAAATTGAGAGAAATTGAAATGGAGTTGGAAATGGAGAAGTGTGTTTGGAGTTGCAAAGCTCTATTTTAACATATTCCTTAGAATATGCTACAGTGGGGACTGCAAAATGCAGTCAATGGTTGGAACTGCTCTTAGGGGAGAGAAAGGGATCATGCAACTATAGTTAGACAATTCTAAGTATTGAATGGAAGTTGAAAAGTTGAAAAGTCTTAAAAGTTGCCAAGTGGTGATTTAAGGCTTTACTTTAGTATATGAGTAGTGCTATATCCGGGCGATGCTGCGAGAGTTTTATTTTAGGATTAATTAAGGGGAAAATTGCTTGGAGAAACCAAATAAAGTTAGGCTATGCATCCCCACCCCAAGTCTAAAAACCATAACCAAAAAGCACTAAAAATGAAAAAGAAGTGCAACCAAACCCCAAAACTCACAGCCCAAGAAAACATTCCCAAATTACCCTTCTTCTTCCCCATTTAAAACCCAATCCCTTTCTCCTCCTAATCTGGCCCAAGGTCTCCCCCCACCGCCTCTCCCTCCCCTACCACCGCCGACGTGCCCAAGGTCCTCCTGATCTGGCCCAAGGTCCTCCTGATCTGGTCTTCTATGGTCCGAGGACCGAGTTGCCGTCGAGGGCAACGCCGGAGTCGTTCACGGTGGCCATCTTGAAGGGTCTCGTTCCCGACAAATATGGCGTATAAATTGCACGAGGTGCGCAGGCTCTTCGAGATGGCGAGGTTACCGAACCCTTCCGGTGTTCCCGACGCGCGTCGTTTCAAGATGGCACTTGAAGGATGCAGAGCAATCGCTCTATGGAGCTGCGAGGAATTGGAGTCCGAGTGGCTGATTCTGCTCGAAGAAATCATCAAGAAGCCGATTGTTCCGGTCGGCCTGCTGCCGCCATCGGTGGACGAACGAAACGAGAATGCGAATGAATCTGAAGTTGAAATAATGGAATGGCTCGGCAAGCAGAGGTCGAAGTCTGTGGTTTACGTCGCTCTCGGGACCGAGGTGGCTATTAACACCGAGTCGCTGCACGAGCTGGCGCTAGGACTTGAAACGGCGGAACTGCCCTTTGTTTGGGGGCTCAGAAAGCCTTTCGGCTTGAGTCCAGATGGTGAGATTCTACCAGAAGGGTTTGAAGATAGGACCAAGGACTTTGGGCTAGTTGTTAAGGGTTGGGCGCCACAAGTGAAGATATTGGCTCATTAGTCGGTCGGAGGATTCTTGACGCATTGCGGGTGAAGTTCGATCATCGAAGGTCTTCAGTCTGGACACCCGCTTGTTCTGCTGCCCGTGGATTTGGACCAAGGTTTGAATGCGAGGTTGATGGAGGAGAAAGGATTTGGGGTCGAGGTTGAGAGGAACGAAGAAGATGGATGTTTCAATAAAAAAGATGTGGCCAAGGCCCTTAGGTTGGTGATGGTGGATGAAGAGGGAGAGAGTTACAGGAAGAGAGCTCAGAAGATGATGGAGGTTGTTCGGGACAAGGAACGGCAAGACAAGAACGTGGATGGCTTCATTCAGTTTCTTGCAACTAATCGTAGCTTAGAAGCCTGAGTTGTAGAGAGCCTCCATAACTTATTACCAACCACATCTCTTCACTCAATAAACCCCATGAATGATATTGTTTGTTTTTCACATCCTCCGCCAGAATATTTTTTGTACTTTGGATGTTGTATGTGATATTTGTTATTTATACGTGACATTTGGGTGTTTTATGTGATATTTGGGTGTTGTATGTGATATTTATGTGTTGCTTGTGATATTTGTTATTTATACGAGATATTTGAGTATTGTATGTGATATTTGGCTGTAATTTATGACATTTGGGTGTTGTATATGATTTTTGGGTGCTGTATGTGATATTTATGTGTTACTTGTGATATTTGTTGTTTATACGTGATATTTGGGTGTTGTATGTGATATATGACTAAAGTTTGTGATATTTCGATGTTGCTTGTGATATTTGCTGTTTACACGTGATATTTGGGTATTGTATGTGATTGTTAGATGTAATTTGTGATATTTGGGTGTTGTTTGTGACATTTGCTGTTTATACGTGACATTTGGGCGTTGTATTTTATTTTTGTCTGTAATTTGTGACATTTGGGTGTTGTATATGATATTTGTGACATTTGGGTGTTGTTTAAGGTGAAGGTGAAGGTGAAGAGGAGTGTCAAAGTATTTGAGTTTGAGTTGAAGGTGAAGAGGAGTGTCAGAGTATTTGAGTTTGAGTTGAAGGGGAAGAGGAGTGTCAGAGTATTTGAAGGACGAGTTATTTATTCCTAGGTCTTGGTGGGAAAAGAAGAATAAGGGGATGATGATGAAGGAGGATGTGGAATGACTCTATTAGATCTAAATATCACATACAATAAATTATAGTCATGTGTCACGTATAAACAAATTACAACCATGTGACAAATAAGCACATTCACTATCAACAAATTACAGCCAAATATCACATACAACACCCAAATTTAACGTATAAACAGCAAATGTCACAAGCAACACACAAATGTCACATACAATACCCAAATATCACATACAACACCCAAATATCACATAAAACACCCAAATGTCACGTATAAATAACAAATATCACATACAACATCCAAAGTACAAAAAATATTCTGGCGGAGGATGTGAAAAACAAACAATATCATTCATGGGGTTTATTGAGTGAAGAGATGTGGTTGGTAATAAGTTATGGAGGCTCTCTACAACTCAGGCTTCTAAGCTACGATTAGTTGCAAGAAACTGAATGAAGCCATCCACGTTCTTGTCTTGCCGTTCCTTGTCCCGAACAACCTCCATCATCTTCTGAGCTCTCTTCCTGTAACTCTCTCCCTCTTCATCCACCATCACCAACCTAAGGGCCTTGGCCACATCTTCTTTATTGAAACATCCATCTTCTTCGTTCCTCTCAACCTCGACCCCAAATCCTTTCTCCTCCATCAACCTCGCATTCAAACCTTGGTCCAAATCCACGGGCACTCCAACGATGATAATTTTGCCAAATTAGAAGGAATCTTTCCAGATAAAGAATTTCTACTGAGATCCAATGCAATTTGCAAAGAACCCAAGTTCCCAAGTTGGTCAGGTATGGTGCCTGACAAGTCATTCTGGCCTAAATCAAGCAAAAGAAGCCGATCCAGATTGCCGAGCTCAGTAGGTATCTTGCCTGTCAGCTTGTTTCCCGATAAATCGAGACTCTGTAACAATGTGATACCGCCAATCTGTGAAGGAATTGTCCCAGATATCAGATTACTGCTCAAATTCAGCCTGTAGAGCTGATCTAAATTCCCAAGCTCAGATGGAATTGTGCCTGGCAAGAAGTTGGAAGACAAGCCCAAATCCTGTAACTTGCTCATCTCACCAAACAAGCTGGGATATCTCCAGTGATGCTGTTTCCATCTATGTGCAAGTATTGAAGGCTTTCACATTGTCCCCAATCTGATGATAGTGTTCCTGTCAATTGATTCCCTGTGACATCCAAGTATATGAGTTGGGGGTGAATGCCAAATACTTCTGATATATCGCCTTTGAACTGGTTCCCCTCTAACCGAACTCGTATCAAGTCACCACAATTGCGCAAGCAGTCAGGCGGATGCCCTGAGAAGTTATTTATGTTAACTGTCAAGTACTAAAGTTTGAAGCCGCTGCAAAGAGTAGGTGGAAGCGGACCCGAGAAGCTATTGTTCGAAAAGCTTGCAGTAACCAAGAGCCCATGCTTACCGAGATCTTGAGGCAGAGCCCCTGTGAAATTGTTGGTAAATACCTGAAGAGTTTGAAGGTTTTCAAGCTGGGAAATTGTGCTGGGCAGCTCCCCTTCTAATTGGTTGGTGTTTACATCTAGATAGCCCAATGAAGTCATGTTTCCAATCTCAGGCGGAATTTTGCCTGTGAGATTGTTGGAGAACAAGCCCAATGATGTGAGGTTAGTAAGCTTCCCAAGCTCAGCTGGGATCGGACCCCACAATGAGTTGTTTGAGAAATCCAATTCCAGCAAATTGATCACCGTGAATGACTCCGGCGTTGCCCTCGACGGCAACTCGGTCCTCGAACCATAGAAGACCAGATCAGGAGGACCTTGGGCCAGATCAGAAGGACCTTGGGCACGTCGGCGGTGGTAGGGGAGGGAGAGGCGGTGGGGGGAGACCTTGGGCCAGATTAGGAGGAGAAAGGGATTGGGTTTTAAATGGGGAAGAAGAAGGGTAATTTGGGAATGTTTTCTTGGGCTGTGAGTTTTGGGGTTTGGTTGCACTTCTTTTTCATTTTTAGGGCTTTTTGGTTATGGTTTTTAGACTTGGGGTGTGGATGTATAGCCCAACTTTATTTGGTTTCTCCAAGCAATTTTCCCTTAATTAAGTTATTAGTTTTATTTAGAAATATGTATTGATTGTTAGACAATTCTAAGTATTGAATGAAAGTTGAAAAGTTAAAAGCCTTAAAAGTTGCCAAGTGGTGATTTAAGGCTTTACTTTAGTATACGAGTAGTGCTATATCCGGGCGATGCTGCGAGAGTTTTTCTAGCTAGCTGTAATTTTTCTCTTAAAAAATGTTTTTTAGTCATTACTACTTGACCTATGCTTCAAATTTATTAAACATATTATAAAATTGTTTCATCTGTACAATACATGGGACTTGGTTTAAACTTAGATTGTACCATTATAATTTAGTATTTTTATTTTGAGAGTTATGCTTTATTTTTACTCTACAAGTTGTACATTAGATTTAGAAATATTATTTAAACGATAGTTATAAAATTAATCAGATAACATGCTAATACTTTTTAGATACAACATTCTTGCATAAGATATGCATGAGTATTAGATGTTTCTTTTGCATTATTTTCATACTCATTCAAAGTGAACTAGGAAAACTAAATATCATGCCCGTTAAAGTCTTTTACCTTCAGCCTATTTTATGAGTATTTTAAATAAAAACCAAAATACTCTGAATAAGTAATTAACATAAGTAATAAACATTATAGCAACAGTTAATAAACTAAAGCACTTAGATGCCGGACAATAAGAACAATGATATAGGAGATTATATGTGCTTCTATTTACAATAATTTACTAAATGTAATAATATAGTAAAAGTAAGAAACAATTAGAAAAAGTTACATAAATTGTTACTCCGTCTAGGTGCTTGTACTTTAAACAACAAATCAGTTTGTACTCCCATCCTTCACTTGCTCCAAAGTTGATCTAGCTCAATTAAACTGCTTTAAAAAAAACAAAACAAAATTAGTGACAATACAACAAAAATCCTCTAACTCACAAGTCAAAATTGAAGCAGAGCAAGACATTTAAAAGAATACCGTATCCAACAAATCCCAGAAGGATTTTCTCTATAAAACATTCAACGATTCATCGTTCCACTCTGTAATCAGTTGAAGTTTATAAATAGAAACAGAGAACTAAATATAGAAGCTTGTAGGTCAATTTGGCAAACAAAATTGAGTGCCAAATGCGAACACCAAAAAGGATTGAATCATTGAAATAATAGAGAATGAAGCTAGTATAACCCAGTTTAATTAGCTCATTAAGTTAGAAAAATCAATAGATTGCACGATAAATTAAGCAAAACAGATAGAGATGTTTATTAGAAGAAAGTAATGGAAGCAAAAAGAGGGTGACTATTAAATTTAGTGGGAGAAATGACAGATGATGAAGAAAGTTGTGGATAAAATAATGAATGATAAATATATAGGACGGGAAACGAACAGCCAAAACGTGTACTATACGTGACGGTGGAAAGAAAGATAATGGCGTTTCTAGATTATGCTTTCAGAAAGTTCAGTTGTTAGTTAATCATTAATCATAGTGAATTTAAGGGTAAAAGATATAAAAATATAAAGTTCTAGATTACTTTGTCTTGAGAAGGATATATATTTAGAACGCTTTAGTTAGAATAAATTGAATCGGAAAGGGTTTAGTTGGAATGAATTAATTGAAAAGACACGAGCTTTAACTCATGCGTTTTAATAAGAGAAACAACCGTTTAAGTAGCTAATAGAAATTAAAACAGTATCAATTGTTAATTACAGGAAAGATTAATTATCAAGTCCCTTAACTTTTTCCACATGTACCGCCGGGGCCTTGTTTTAGTATATTAGATAGATATAGATTTGATAATATACACAACATATTTAACATCCATAAACATTTTAAAATTAATCATAACTAAGATTGAATAGTTTTATAACGTTACCAATAATTAGTGTTAGAAAATAATATTGAATTCAATTTAAATCTGATACTAGCAAAAACCAAATGAATGTGAGACATCATAATATGTTGGGCCTGTTTGGTATTGCTTTTTTTTAGGGTGCTTTTGTTTATTTTCTAAGAAGCACCCAATAATGACGTTCAGCGAAAACCTTCTTTCCATACTTATTAAAGCTACTATTGCTTTTTAAGAGGGTGCTTATAGAAGTAATTTGAGGTTGCTTTTAAAAGTAGTTTTTGTATGTTTAGTTTTTATACCATGCATAATGTTTATCTTTTAACAATCATCGTTAAGTACAATTCTGAATTCTCCTAAACGCCTTAGCTATTTTTTAAGTAGTTTGAAATTTGATTACCAGATTGCTGTTTTCAGCAACGTATATAAGTTGTTTCTATAAGCTGCTTTTATAAACAACTTATTTTAAGCTTTAGTAATATCAAACTGGCCTGAAGGGTAGTGATCCTAGACTATACGTTCAAAACTATTCCTATGCTACTACAAACAAAGATTGTGAGGGTCCATTATGGCTCATCGATTTAATAACAATCCAAGTGGAAGGACCCTGCACTCTTCTGTCTAATAGTATAACTAATAGTAGTTTAGAGACTGTACTTTAGTTAAAATTGTCCATCTAGTCTATCGATATTGTCATATTAACTTCCTTTTCTAGTTCATAACTTGTACACTGGCGAGAAAATTGATTTTGACACTTTTAGTTAGCTTTATGTTCAATTTTGGTTCCGGGCCTGTTACGCCGCAGCAAGAATGAGAAATCTACAAGCAGTCTCTCTGGCCAATGGAAACTTATTTTTCATTGGTTCTATTTTTTTTTTCTTTTTGTTTTTACTACGCTAGATGAGAGAATGATCAGACATGCATGTAGTTGATAGCTCGCTCTTGACTTCTAAAATATGGCAGTTTTCTTGAGCTGAGAAAGTCAAGGATTTTATTAGCATGAGTTTCTCATCATAGTGACTTGATCTATTAAATAATTATTTCATTGGTCAAAATTAGAAAGCTAGAAACGGTAAGAGTCTTCCTTAAAATAATAATAACGAGAAAAAAAGGAGGTAAGAGTCTCTGCCTCAGAGGTGAAGACGGCTTGATCGAATCAGAATCAGTAGCTATCAGAATCGTTATTAATCCACTGTCATATTGGAGCAAATAACTGAACTCAAATCACAGACATTTGATATGAAAATTTCAATTGTTAGTAATAACGTACACATAAAAATAATGCAGTATATATTAATGTGTGCACCAGGCTGTGATACATTTTTTAAGGGATTAGGATCATATATCAGCTAATTAATTTATGTACAATTCAACTATTCAAGAGCGCATCATAGCGTGTGCAATCTCCAAATGAGTCGACTCGCCATGTTTTCTGGGTTGCCCATTTGCTCGGCTAGTGTTGAGTGTTTTATATATTAAATTCACAAGTTGAAAATTTGAAAGACAAGATTTTTCAATTAGTTATGGTTCAGAGTCTCATTAATTCCTAGGGAATGGAGGCCCCTCCTTCTGACGTAATGAAAATAAACTTTGATGGGGTTGTACTCGCAGATTGAGGAGCAATTGGAGTGGCGATAGTAGCTCTTGATCATAGAGGTGAGTTTTATGCAACTTTATCCAATGTAATTCCCTCTCCAGGTAGTGCTGAACACGCAGAGTATAAAGTAGCATGGGAAGCGGTTCATTTTGCTGCAGGTTCCAGGTTTAAAACGGTGATTTTTGAAGGAGATGCTGAGGGTGTTTATCATTGATTTCCAGCAAGAAAAAGAACCTCTTTTCTCCTTACGGTCATCTTGTGGAGGACATCTATAGGCAATGTAAGTAATTTTCAACATGGAAGTTTAAGGCAGTAAGGCGTCGAGGCAACGTTGTGACTCGTCGTCGAGGCAACGTTGTGACTCGTTGTCTGGCGTGCAATGCTCAAAACTATTCGAATGATGATGGGTATATGGTATGGATTGAAGATCCCCTTTATTCCTGCAGCAATCCCTTGTTGGGCTCTGATACCACTTGTTGTGTGTGACGGCTAAACGTAGGGGTGCCGAGAACAAACACAAACGCCGAGAGAGAAAGACACACACGACCAAAATAATAGCACGAACACAAACAAATAAATTTTACGTGGTTCGGCAAGTTGTCTGCGTCTATGGGGCAAAAAAGGGATGAGTTTTCACTAATAGAGAAGAAGAGTACAAATTAAGATTACAAAATCACTCAAACTCACCAATTAATCTCACAAACAAAGCTCACAATCTCTCAAACAAAACCCTAACCAATAGCTCAGAAAAACTCTCTTTTCTGTGCTCAAAACAAACCCTTGACTGCTCTAAAGAAACCCTAAAACGTGGTTGCTATATATCGAATAGCAATCCCAAGCAGAACAGGAAACCACAATCAGGCCCTAACCCGACTGGCGGTCGACCGTCAAAATTGTCGTGGTCGACCGGACAGAACGTCAGAAATAAAAAAATGCATTACAAGGTCCGCGGTCGACCGTACTTGACGTCGTGGTCGACCGGCAAGCACCTAAAGCTCTGTCTGCTCCAAAAATCCTATTCTTCTTCAATGTTTTTGTTGTTTCTACAATTCTCCACATCGGCGAAGTTTTTCCAAAACTGAGCCGACACCAACCAAACCAAATGTTTCACTTGTTGTGTCTTGTACGAAGTAGAATAAATCCACGACAACGGACTCAATCCACAACAAGTCAAGACCCAAACGAGAATGCGAACAAACTCCAAATGTCGATATCAACTCACCAAATCGGTTGTATCATAAAAAGACTGCCTACGTATCATCTTGCCTAAGGAATCAAGCCTTCACGTAGTTCACCAAATGGTCTCCAAAGGCCCTCAATCAATGAGAATAGTTTTCAACCCTTCTCCAACATCACCAACAAATCTGTAACTAATAACTCTCCCAATGGCCCCAAAATGTAACGAACCGAACACCTCCACCTGAGATGAACCAACGGCCATAGCCAAATCTGAACTGTATCCACTAGCTACACTCGAATCAACTAACTCATCATCTGCATCCACATCAACATGATCCTCAATCTGTGTTACCTCAGCTGGAATCCCAAATGATGCAGAATGATCTGGAGAACGTGGAGTAATCTCCACCCAACGTGGAGTAGCATCACTCTCTACCTGCTGTGATATCCCAATGATCTGTCCAATACTCTCCACCTGTCGAGAGCTAAATATGACATACCTGCTCAGAACAATATCAGAGTCCAATACCTGATAGCCAAACATGACTCTGAATCCCAAATATGCACTCGAATCAAATCTCACATCCTGGATGTAACAATATGTTGGGCGACCAAATATTCGAAGCAACCTAAAATCTGAAGCAGCTCCACCAGATCCAAATACTATAATCACGGTAGACGACAACCTGTAAATAAGATGACTTCAATATGTCAAAGCCTCAGTAACAAAACTCCTCTGCAATCCACTGCTTGACATCAAACAATGATTCTCCTCCAGCAAGGAACGACTCATCAAATCTGCCACCCCATCTCATTGCCCTAATGTTTCCTTTTTAATGAAGTGTCTCAAACTGCCGTGAGCTAGACACAAATGCAGAAAAGAACCCTACCAAAATCAGAACGATGTATTACCTTTTTGCCAATACACTTCTACCACCTGTTGTTGACTATTAGGACTTTACTCCAACGGGACTTGGTTGCAAACCATAAATGTCTAGAATAGTCTCCAACACAGGAAACCAAATACATATTACCTCCTAATGATGCCTCCTTGGAAGGCCCCCAAACGCCTATGTGAACTCCATCTAGAAGGTGTTGGTCTCTTTGTTTTGATGATATTTAACAAATAATTTATCACTAATGTTGTTTGTCTAGTATTTATGTTTATTTATTTATTATAGATAAATAACAAGTTGGAGGATGGATGGAATTGCGCATTCACGATCATATCCAATGGAGGTTGGCGGAATTGTGGAGTGAAACCTACGCAATTCAAAGTTAAAGATTCAAGTTCAAGCTTCATCCGTAAGTGTACCAAGATAGAGCTTCGTTGAAGATCACAAGCTTGGGTAAATTTAGAAAACATATTTTTGTTTCATACTTACATGCATATATATGATTTTATCAATATCAATTTTATTTAGTATAATGAAATCATATTTTCTTTTGAAATGTTTGCAAAATATGTAATTTTATGAAAATATTGTTTTATTGGTTTATGGACTTAATATCAATCATATACATCTTTCTTCAAGTCTATAAAATTATTTTGTAATGTTTCAAAACATGGTTAAGCTAAAATGTCAAAACTCATATGTTTACATTTTTATGTTTTGGAGTATTTTACAAAATAATAATATTTCTTATTTGGGAGATCCTTTTTGAAAACCAGTTTTTGTAGCATGTTTATTATCATGTCTATAATCATTTCCAAAAGTTTTACATTTTTCTGAATTTGTTTGATATTTTTAAACAGGGTTTCAAAATTAGAAAATAGTTTTTTGCATGTATCTGTTTGCGGTCGACCGCCACGGTCGACCGCCTTGAGTCCAGAGACTCAGTAGGTTTTTTGATGGCTCGCGGTCGACCGTGACGGTTGACCAGATGTAGTCCAGAGAGTTTTGCGGTCGACCGTCGCGGTTGATCGTCTGTTATCCAGAGCCCTTTCTTTGTTTCTGTGCTGCTCGCGGTCGACCGCGAGTTTCCCACGGTCGATTGCCGAACTATCCGTTGGACTCCAATGACTATTTTCAGCTGTGTTTTTCTAGGGGTTTTGTTGTCTTTTTAGTGGGGTTTTTGCTTAAGTTTTGAGTGGGTATAAATACCCCATTGTCTTCAGCTCTCCTACTAACTTAGAGAGTGTTTTTAAAGAAGTTTGAAAGTGTTTTAACAAGGGTTTTAGTTTGGTTTAAGTGTGTTTAAAAAGCTTTTAAGCAATTGAGAGTTTATTTTATGAAAACAATTTCACAAGAGCTTGAGGAAGATCATCCATCGGTGTTTGAGCATCCAACTCTTCTACCTCTCTCTCTTGATCTATTGAGAAGTTTTTTAAACTCTATTTCTAGCTTTATACCTATTTGTTTGATTATCATTTTATTAAAGCTAGTTTTATATTGAGTTTAGATTTGATTTTACTCATTGTTTACACCCACCCACCTGAGCTTATTGTATTTACATTCATAGTATAATTTAGGTTGTGGGATTGGAACATTGAGTTGTGCTTAATTGAGTTCTCATCCATTGTAGCTAACAACTATTATTGTATTCGTGCTTAATTGTGAGATTCACTTTGTAATACACTTGTACACTAAGAGAAGTGTGTGGTGTGAGTCGGGGATCATCCCAAGAGGAGTGGGGTAGGTAACATACCTAGAGAGAGGTTGTAATTCCTAACACTTGAGGAAGACACGTCTGTGACCAACACTTAACAGGGTGTAGAGTAGAATTGCAAGATTGTTGATTGTAAAGTTTTCGGTTAGCTAGAAAACCGAGTGTGAGGTGTAAACGTTATTCAGGTAAGCGTAAAAAACACGGTTGTGATAGTAGAGATCTCCTCGAGGTGAGGAGCGGAGACGTAGGTCAAGTGGTTAGACCGAACTCCGTAATCATATTGTTTTGTTTGTGATTACATTGGCGTACTTATTTTTATGTTCATATCTTATATTACCTTTGTATATTTCTTGTTGATTATATTGCCCACTATCTAGTTTAGATTGTTTATCCTTATGTTAGTTTATATATATATCCTTGCATATATCTCATAGTATATCTCTTTGCTAGGATATATCTATTTGTTCATATTGCTTATCCTAGCTCATTTATCTTATTGTATTTCATACTTGCTAGGATAACTTATTAATTAATTTTAATTAGAATAAAATCGGATTAGATTAGCATAAGACCCTAATCATCCCCCCTCTAGGGTCTAACAGAAAGCCCTTCGCTCGGTGAATAGAAGTGTCAAACTTCACCTCGGTCTTCTTGTTCACACCAACATGTTTATAGGACTTCAATCTGCAGGTCAAATCACTTCTCACCAATCCATGCACGACATTAAAACTCGAATATCTCAGCCTCAAATCCCATAGTCTAGCCAAAACAAATGAAGTCGTCAGCTCTCCACCAGTCATTGTGCTTTCAATCAAATAGTACAAATTATTCCTTCTGACGCCCTTCATCACAATCATGGACCCTAATGTGACCTTCAGAGATTCATCCTCTAAGATCACCCTATAGCCTGATGTCTCCAAAACTCCAAGTGAAATGATGTTCTTCTTCAACTACGGAACGAACCTCACTTCCTTCAACTCCCGAATCACCCCATCACACATCCTAATCCGAACAGTACTAATACCACCAATAGGGTATTTATGATTATTACCCATGAGCACGACATCCCCTCTTTCCAACTCCTTACAGCTGGAGAATCAATTCCTCCTAGGGCAAATGTGGTATAAAGCACTCGAATCTAACATCCACTTCGTAGAGTCGGTAACACAAACTGACGGTAGTGCAGAATATGAATAGCCTGAAGAATCCGGATCTGAATTGTCGCCACTAGCATTGGCAACATTCACTTTTGAAACTTGTATAGCTTTCCTCTAATTCTTCCCGGCTCGATATTTTAACTTAGGCATTCAGACTTTCAATGTCCATCTTCTTTGCAAAAGGCATATTGATTCCTACCAACTGAAGGATGTGCTCATCTAGACTGCAACTTCCTACTTTGATTTAGACTCTTTCCTCTTACGACTAATGCCTCCGCTACTATATCAATTAAAGACTCATTGTCTTTCTTCCTAAGCTGATAATTCACAAGAGCAACGGTAACCTCACTATACGAAAGAGATGTTTTCCCATTAATAAGAGTAAGAACGAATATCTCATATTCCTTATTAGGCAAGGAACTCAACAACAACAACGTTTTATCCTCATCTTCAATCATAACATCCACATTCGTCAAATCCGTAAGAAGCTTCGTGTAGTGGTTCATGTGATCACCAATAAGGGTCTCCTTCTTCAATTGGAAGCGATAAAGCCTTCTCTTCAAATGTAAGCGGTTTTTCACACTCTTTGTCAAATACTTGCCCTTTAGGATCTCCCAAATTTTCTTTACCGAAGTCTTATTTATCACATCATATTTCAAATCTTGTGTTAGATAAGACCTAATCACACCACACGTCGTTTGATTTATTTTTTTCCAAACCTTTTCCTCAATGTCGTCCGGTTTCCCATCCAACTCCAAAGTATCCTTCAAATTTTGCGCGTTGAGCGCATTCAAGACTTTACATCTCCAAAGACCAAAATTGTTAGTGCTGTTAAATTTCTCTACATCTATCTTCATAGAGTGAATACTCAAACTTTGGACGGTCTTCACGTCAGAAGTACCCTCCACAACTCTTTCTTTCTCGGCCATCTTTCTCAAAGCACTAATAACCAATGAGGAACAACTGAAGAATAGATCCAAACTAAAAAAAGAGAGATTTTTATCTCCAACTTAAACCCTAACAAGAGCCTCCGAAAGATCTCACCCTCACACGATGATAGACAAGATCCACAATAGTAAAAATCCCACATTTATCACCAACTGAAACCCTAGATGAGCTTTCAAAGTGATCTACTCATCCACTTAATCTCAAGCGTAGCCTGAAGCTCTGATACCAATTGTTGTGCGTGGCGACCAAACGTAGGGGTGCCGATAACAAACACAAACGCCGAGAGAGAAAGACACACACGGCTAAAATAACAACACGAACACAAACAAACGAATTTTACGTGGTTCGGCAAGTTGCCTACGTCCACGGGGCAAAAAGGGGGTGTGTTTTCACTAATAGAGAAGAAGAGTACAAATTGAGATTAGAAAATCACTCAAACTCACCAATTAATCTCACAAACAAAGCTCTCAATCTCTCAAACAAAACCTTAACTAATAGCTCAGAAAAACTCTCTTTTTGTGCTCAAAACAAACCCTCGACTGCTCCAAAGAAACGCTAAAACATGGTTGCTATTTACATCAAACAGCAATCCCAAACAGAACAGGAAAACGCAATCAGGCTCAAACCCGACTAGCGGTCGACCATCAAAATCGTCGCGGTCGACCGGACAGAATGACAGAAACCAAAAAAATGCTATACAGGGTCTGCGGTCGATCGCACTTGACGTCGCGGTCGATTGGGCAGAAAATCGAAAAAACCCTGTAGTGTGCACGTTTCTGATCAACCGCCTCAAAGCTTACGATCGACTGGCAATCACCTAAAGCTCTGTCTGCTCCAAAATCCTGTTCTTCTCCAATATTTTCGCCGTTTCTATATCCCTTATGTTAGACATGAATGTTTGCAAAGTTAATTAATTGTTTTTTCTTTTGTTTATCAAATAAAAAAAAGAGGAGGGCATCATAGTATGGAGCGTATGAAATCTTATCTAGACGACAAAAATATCTACAATACGCATGGTTGTGTTTTATTAAAAAAAACATTATTCATTGTTCTAATAAATAATTTTGATAGTCCACCACTACGTAAGAGAGAATAATGAA